GAGTAATAAAAAACGAAAATTATATAATTTTCTTTTGAAAAAATTCCAACGAACTTTCAAAGATCAAGGCATTATTAAAACGAAAAATATTGGACGTTTTTAACAATAGATCTTAAATCTTCTGCCTTCGGACAATACGCGATCACTCATTGTTATTTTCGCGCGAAATTATTTACTTTCCGCTTCCCTAATTGTTAGAAAGTGAATGGAAAATTCATGTTATCTGCCAAAGACTCGTAAATAATCATTCTTAAAAAATTAATGTACAAAAAATACTCAAATCATCATTGTATGATGTTTTTATGATTATTGTTCTAATACATTTATTTAAGCAAAATTACACAATTAATCATAAATTATATCAAATCTTGACCTAAGCTATGCATAATAATAATAATATACAACGGAGAGATGCTGCCAGCAGTAAAGGTAACTACATTTTTGTTTAGTTAGGTAGTAAACGTAGCTAGATTTTTCTCGTCTGACAAAGTAATACTGGCACCTAATCTGTGATATCATCTGACAACATGATATCACAGACAGTACACTGATCTATTATGTGAGCCGAGGTTTTTCCTGGTTTACGACAAACTTTTAGAATTGATAGTCAACCCGAAAAAGGTAACATATATGTTAAAATAAAGGTACTACAGTGAAGTGAGATTCTACTTATGAAACTCCAAACTGTCAAAAATAAGCTTTGCTCACACGATAGTTAACTGTATTTTTGTCCTTTAGTTTCATCGTAAAAAAGTAATTTCAAGAGTCTAGGGACGAGTTTTCTCTTACATTCAACTTTATTAAAAACTTCATACTTGGCAATGGCCCATAATATTTTAGGTAACGTTGAAATCCCTCAGTAACGACTGTGCAATGGCGCTTAATATAAATATAGTGTTCTAAATGTTTTTGATTTAATTTCTTAACCCTAGGCAGCCGGAGCACGTTCATAGTAAGACCCCAAGCTCCGCATTTTATCTTGCTTACCCCGTAACTTCAACGGTGATTTATAATTGAATATTGAGATTTCGACCCAGGACGCTTACTCTATAAGTCTCTGTCTGTACCCCAAAAGCGACACCGACAGTGAGTGGCGGACAGTTTCTTGCCAGTTCTTGTTGTCCGCTCTACGCCCTTGACTTGCGAACTTGTAAATGTAAATTTAGAATCAATTTAACTACTTTTCTGTTCACGTTTATAAGTGTACTTTTTACCTATATAAATAAAGTTATTTTGAGTTTGAGTTTGACACTGATCACGATCCCAATAAGTTTTTGTTTCCCCCGGTAGCCAAGGTAGCTCCAGCGCTACGGATATGAGAGAACTACTTCGATGTTGCATAAGACACGTCGGGGTCAGTATCGCTGTCGCTGTCGGAAGTTGCAGAGTACGGAAATTGAATAAACAACATTTGGGTTTCGTTTTGAGATAATCGGTTATTTTTATAGATTACAGAGTAGCACTGCTGAACCATATTTCTTGTATATTTAAGTAAAACATAAAGAATACCAATATTAAGGAATAGATAAATAAATACATCTTTTGTACATCTTTCTCAGGCTGCCTATTTATTGTATCGCCGGGAATCAAACCCGGGTTAAACTTATACGTCTATACATTATTAGGGAGGTTATTTTATGATATATCAGTGATTAATTATATAATATTGTTACTGAATAATTGATTTATTAGACTATTTCACATATTTCTTATAAAACCTTTTTGCTTAAGTAGATTTTTTATTGCATTTCTTCTTACACATTAGACAGATAAATGTCGGCTCTTCCGTTGTAGTCGTTGTCGCTTGTGTCGTTGTTGAAGTGGTCGGTTTGGGCTTACAAAAGTGAAAACTGTGTGGATAAATCTCTTCGGGTTCCTCATATATGAATGGCAATTCATCGTCAGAATAGATTAACGACGATGTATCTAGAAATAAAAAAAAACAATTGCAAATTTCGAACGCCTAAATCTACTTTTTTAAATATATTAGTAGTCTTTGGTCTACGCGAGTAAATGTTTCTATACTGTCCCGTTCCCATATCTATTTTATTAAACCGGCAACGCACTCGCGAGCCCTCTGGCATTGAGAGTGTCCATGGGCGGCGGTATCACTTAACATCAGGTGAGCCTCCTGCCCGTTTGCCCCCCGTTCTATAAAAAAAAAAACATTTATTCATAAACACTGCCTTATGTCAAATAGTCAATTCAGATCTAAGACATACCGAGTTTAACCAATCCAAAACCAATATTTGCGAGTATTACATATTTTGAATAAGTGTAACAAAAGTAATTTATTAATTATCTTAAACCCCATTTTATCTTTATTAATTGTTGGCTTACCGTCGTCATAACGTCTCCGTGGTGAACAATACAGCGGGCACACTTTATAGCAAAAGAAGAAGGGCTCTTTATCTGAAAGGAATTACCGAATTAATAACTCTTTGTGTCCATTTTATAATTAATGTTGGTGTAACTTGAAACACCCGAAGCAAAAATTATATAGAACGTATAATTCTTTTAATACTGCTACTAAAGGGTGAATAAATTTTTGAAGTTATACTTCTTTAGGCGCGTTTAATGAAAAATTGATGAGAGTGAAATATTTCGATGCGCGCGCACCGTGACACAAAATTAACAGAATGAAGTTGCCCACAGAAGATGCTACGGCATTGGACATAATTTAAAAACAACATACAAATATTTACTTATTTAATTTTTCAAATGTAAACTGAACTTTATTGACTATAACGACTCCTTTTCCAGTCTTTGATTTAATTGTAATTAATTATTTGCATGCAATCAAAAACTATTTTTAATAATGTCAAAGAAGTATAACTTCTTACGCTCGTACATAAGTACACGCACCCTATTTTTTATAAGGTGAGATAGCGCGATGTTTTATAGCCTTCCTCTGTAACACTGGGGGTTACCGAATCGATGTTGTAAGTACATCCGAGAAATTGATACCCAATGACTACAAACTGGTTTTAAAATATTTAAAGTCAGAAATTCTACGTACCATCAAGTAGAAAAAACGCATTAATAGATACTAAAAAGAAACACGTAGAATAAAAACTTAAAAACATTGTAAACTCTACACACAACTAACACTTACACCTTTCACTTTAAAATCACAAGTTTTGTCCTACGACTATTTTATATAAACATAACCCACCTCTCTTAAGTCTAGACTTCTAGGTTTACGTGGAAAATACACTCATAACCTACAAATCGATAACCAGAAAAAGAAATTTCTTTCAACCAAAATTTATGTGATTCTGATACATGCCACGGTATATAAATATACACTTTAAATACATTTAAGTTCTCTCCAATCTGAAAATCAACTAAAAATTAGTGTTACTGTAATGTTCATTATTTATTTATGAGTCCAGTTGTATAATTCTGTATGGAATTTTAATTCCAGGCAAAATCTGATTAAAAGTGAAACATAAAACAAAAGAAGTTGCTGCATCTGACACGCACCTATTTTACACTACTTTCAATTTCATACTCATATATTTTTCAATACATTTCATATGCAAAAAAAGCATTAAATGCGCTTAAAATAATTAATGACTCGAATGTGCTCACATACATCACCTATTATGTATTATCGAGAATACACATGATTTATAGTTTATAATTTTTTCTTAAATATGGGCTTGTGGCTAAATAATTAAACGATAAAATTACGTATAAGTTAATACTAGAACAGGACTTTAGACCCTGTAAAACTAGTATTAGATAAAAATGTAACTTAATAAAATAAATATTGTTATACACGCTGGGTACAATTTTGTAAAATAAACGAACCCGAAAGAGATAACATTTACAAAAATCAGTACATCTCGAGACCACAATCACTAAATTAAACTTTCTAAAATCTTTAATATTAAATCTCAGTCCGGAATGTGGGCTTCAATAAGGACGTCCTATTGTCTCGTGAAATGAACTTTCTTGTTCTTAAATTAATAGTTCTAAGATGACTCTTGAGAAATAATTACTTGCTCTCGACTACAGTTAATGTTTCACTATTTATGTGTCAGCAGCAAGACTTCACCCGAGGGTACTTTTTAACCTCAATGAGGTTTAAATAGAAATCACCCTTTTTAAGGCTTACTGCCAAAACTTCTACAGAATTAGCTGTACTGCCGGATCGCTAATTGCCTTGCGCGTTCAATATAATGATGGAGAGTGTTCAGAGGAGTTGTTCGGATTAATACCTGCAGCTGAGTTTCATCATCGGACGTCGAGGCAGAATACGAAATTCCACCCGTATCACCTCGACGTCCGCCGTTCAACAACTGAGCGTTTTTCAAGGCAGTTTTTTGCCGCGCACCACCACTATGTGGAACCAGCTGCCCACTGAAGTATTTCCGAACCAATTCGACTTAGGGTCCTTCAAAAAAAGAACGTACCAATTCTTAAAAGGCCGGCAACGCACTCGCGAGCCCTCTGGCATTGAGAGTGTCCATGGGCGGCGGCATCATTTAACATCAGGTGAGCCTCCTGCCCGTTTGCCCCCTGTTCTATAAAAAAAATATATAAGCCTTTAGGCATGTTTGCCCAGGCTGTACTGATGACTTCTGGACGATCCGTGGAAAAGAACGGCATCACTTTTATGCAAATTGCGAGGAACCTTAGTATAATTGATGGCTGTACTCAGTCGCAAATTGTTAGGTGGTTTGCGTAGAATTGTCGGCTCTGGGAGACAAGACATATTTGTTGTTGATGTTGGTACTAATAGTTTTTAAGTTACTACTTACTAACTAATATGGATCTGTGTTATCTAATTGGAACACATTAATTATTATTATTAACTAGCGTTTAAGTTTTTGTGACCGTAGGTTGAACACAAAGATTCTAATTATATGCAAAAGCTTCTTCTTATACTGAGACAATAAAATGTCTGATTGAAGTCTTTTACCGCGAGCAATCGTCATTAAATGTACCGGAGCGCTATAAAAACTAACATTTAAAGCTTCGTTAATTCATAATTATAATTGGAATAATCTATTTATATACCTTGCATGTATGAGCAAATCATCATCAGCCTCTGGGCAATGCACCTCTGGACGTAGGCCTTCTTCATTATCCTCCAGTACAGCACTGGGAGGAGGTTGCTTGACGATGTCGTCATTCTCGCTGGGCGACCAGCGGATCCATCGGTTGTTATCCATGCGCGCTATGTGTCCTGCCACCACTTGCTTAACATGTCTAAAATAAGTCGAGTAAATTATATACTTAGGTATAAAAAGGCTTGGTGGGTCAATGTTCGTCCACAAGCCTTCCATCGCTTTCGTTGCGATGGCTACTGAGGCACCGTTGTTAACTTCATAAATGCGTGAGATTAGCTTTAATTTTTTTATTTTTTTTACTTTACATTAAGGTTCTATAATTTTTTTTATAAGGTTTGGTTATGCACTTATTGCACTTTTCTCATCATACTTCTTTTTTTAGTTTTTTCCCTTACTAAGGTGACTTGGAAGAGATCGCTTAAGCGACAAGACCGCCCGTTGCATCCCTTATATTTTTTATGTATTATGTTATTTGTTTTTGTTTTTTTTAGATGTAACGAACGTGAATAAATAAATAACTTTGTACGAATTCTTAATTTAAAAATAGAACGTGCGAAATTGACGCGAAACATCGAATATTGATTTCCCAATTCGTGTCGTAATATATCTTGACTTACTCCCTTCTGAGAGGGCACTTTCTTTTGGAGTCTCTAGGACATTATTAAGCAACGAGAGCTCTTAGGATACGCTGACTTTGAATAACTACAAAGCACTTTGCGTCGAGAAGGGTAGTCATTAAATTATCGTAGGTTATACTTACGAAATGTCTTTGCACTAAATAGTATTTTAAAGTGTGTCAAATTCATTAATTTATCTGTACCTACGAGTGAAAAATTGTGTTTAGAAAACAGCTTATAACATTAATATGGATTTAGCAATAGTTGTTCTAAATTGGGAATTAGGAAATAACAATCTAGCTTTTCTATTTACCTTTTTAGTATAAGAATTATTTGACAAACCCAAAATGGATTATGCATACAACTTCCATACACCTTATTTTTAATTAAAAATAAATTTAAAATCTTTATACAAATAACATTTTGCATTTAATAACTCTATATTGTTATAACTTTTCCCTTATTTTATGGAGATTATAATAATACTTATGAATTCACGTTAGAAAATCGTTCACAAGAAAAATATGAAAAGTTTAGATTGAGGAACATTTTCCTTCAAACTGAGTTCAAAGTTTTGATAACTTCGAAGTATAGGTGCCTATCACGACACACACAGTTAAATAAAGACTTCAATAATATATCTTACACTTGCGGCCTGTTCTGGCTTTGCATAAAATGAACCATTCTAATGAAGAAAGGGATTTTTTGTTTATATCCACTATTTATATACGTATAAACATATATACGTATATAATACTAGTGGACCCAGGCGCATGATATTTAAAGCGATTAGGATATTAAGCAAAGTATGAAAGTACCGACTGCAGTGCCATCTGCCGGGCTGATTTGTGAATCTAAACCATTCCCAGATCCCCTTGAACACACACAAAAATTTCATCAAAATCGGTCCAGTCGTTTGAGAGAAGTTCAGTGACATACACACTACAGAAGAATTATATATAATATTAGTACAAGTACATTTATTTTATATGTACATTAATTACAATGAATACTATTACTTCTTCACCCTCTCTCTCTCTTCAGTCAGTAGCTCATGTCTGGGCGGCGTGGTCATCAAGAAAACACTTCAGGAGTAGACAATTAGTTTCCACCGGTTTCTGTCCAGCGCTTCTCTTAAAACAGTTCTCTTCGCCTCTGCGCATTGTACGGCCAATATATATATGAAATAATTTCTTCACAGCAGCCAACTTTATTACAGCAGTAAACAAAATTGATTGCCTGTGGAACTCCGACCTGCGTAGTCCCGACACCTCACCACAAGCATTGGGATTATTATTTAATACAACGCACAAATAAATGCTTATCCGAATTTTCCGTTTTCACGAACAAAGGTTCATCGAATGATTGGTTATTGATCGCCATATCTCATTAATGATCCTCTGTAACAGGCATCAAATGAAAAACAGCTTTCGAAATTGGACGATCAAACTATAAATTCAAACTGTTCAAAGCCAAACTTTATTCATCTGTGACAGTTTATTTAAATTCGTTGGACGCAAATATTCCTGATTTTTTGTCTGCATTGGGAATATTTTATTTGTTCGTGCTTTGACAAAAAATAAATTAAGCTTTATTCGGTTCTACTAATTTGTTCAGTATCTGTCAATATAGTACCTAGGTATAATAATTAAAATAATAAAAAATAAAAAGTCTTTTTATTTCTTGCAAAATAACAAAGTAAACTTAGATTAATATATATATAAACGTAATCCAAAAAATATTTTTTTATTATTTTGCAAGAACCCGCAGGTGAAGGCCTCCTCCAAGGATCTCCAGGCATCTCCAGGTCTTGGGCGAGTTGCATCCAGCTCCAGCTAACGGTTTTAGTAATGTCATCCGGCCATCTCGTGAGCGGTCTTCCTCTGTTACGTTTCCCAATAGGGCCTTCCCACTGGGTCGCTCTTATGGTCTATCCTATCGACAGTCTTACTACATGCCCATCTCCATTTAAGCTCTAGAGCATAGTTTAGGGCATCAGAAGCTATAGCAACGCTTCTTATCTTTGTGTGCCTTATTTTATGAATTTTTCTTATGTTGAACATGTATGTTTGTAGTAAAAAAAAAACAGTGGCCCTACTATTTACAACACAATCTGATCCGCCTTCTGTGCCTGACACAGCCGGCGATATTTTAGGGTCTACCTCACCGTACGAGCGAGAGTTAATTGCGCACGTAGACATCGCCCATTAGTGCCCAGCCTGATTTCGAATCTATGACCTGTAATAGTTACACGCTGAACCCACTAAGCCAATGCTCTATATGTATTAACAGAAGTATACTTTTAAATTTGTTAAAACTTGCCTTTCGAATAGGTCAGTTTAGTAAAATATGCTACGGAATTAAGTACCTAGTTTGGGAGACAGTCGGATGGGAAAATAACTTTGTATATTACTTGCTAAATAATTATTTTAATTAATTTTATTAAATGTGCAGAGTTTTAAACTAAACAATATTATCGTATATAACTACTAAAGGTAGTTGCTTCTTAAACTGTGGCTCGTATTTTAAACAAATCTCTCGTCACAATCTTGTCTTACGCCCGAACCCAATAATTAATCCACAATCTCCGATTGAAAACAATCTGAAATCAGACCGTGACAGTCGCTCGATCTCCTATCTGCATCCCAATAACTAAAAGCTACGCAGACTATCCATTTTTGGCGACGGATAGAATGGAATCTCTTCCCTCTAGCCAGATGACTATTAGGGCTCATGCCCACGAGCCAGTTTGAACACGGCCCGGTTTTTGGCCGGCGCCGGGTAGAAACCGTCCGAGCTTGCACACAAGACGGGTCGTGGGCATGAGCCGTTACAATCCGTGGATTGGTTAGTGGCACACTTTATACAACATTTGGATTGAGATTTTTATCTCAGATGGTGGATTATAGATTTAGATAGGTTATTGGGTTCGGGCGTTAGTCGCTGCCATGCTAGCCCAATAATAAGTGAATTTTATTAATTATTGCTGATTTCTTACCTTTTTTTCTAATTTTGTTTATAACAAAATTTAGATTATAGAATTTTTCACAATCTTGTTGAATAAGGGTTAGTTTGTGTGTAAATTAATAATATAAAATTATCTAATATACACTTTAAAAATATCAATAACAGCTAATCTAAACTCTACTAAACATATTTTTGACTTTAGAATACCTCTTACGAAATCACCGCGAAGCTTCATATTATGCAGTTGTGAAGCCATTTATAATACAGTTAATCAAGTTCCGTAGCTCATAACTAGATGGCGCTGATTAAAAAATAGATATAATCTAGATAGAATTTCATTTCTTTTTTGTATTAATAGTAACAGAGGGCATTACTATGTTTAATATGTATTTCTTTAAAAGCGTTTGCAGATATATATACATTACATATATAAATTAAATTATTTGTTTTAGTATAATTTTAGTTTATAAAAAGGCCTATCTTAGTTTTATTTATTTAAACAATGAATTATTAAGTCAGGGTGGTGAAAATAGAAAACAAAAGAAGAAGAAAAACGTTCTTCGTTGCGTTCGATTGTGATTAGATCAATGAATGTAATGTCATATCGTGTCGCACGTCTGGGTTCAGATAAGCTCTTGACTGAATACAATCAAACGGATCGTAAAATCGTTGCGTCTTTAAATTCTTTTCCTCCTTTATCTGCTATTCAGGAAATGCTAAACTATTTGTACGGTACTAAAGTTCAACGGGTTTACTTCGATTTTTTCAGTTGTCTATGAAAGTTCTTCTAAGACATTTCAATTCACTCTTTATAAACTCCACAGTTCACAGGTTACCTACTGCATGCATAGATTTTAATTATTCGTCCTACAGTTTTAATAGAATTATTCAAATGTTTATTGTCTTTTAATACTAGTCTCTATTTATCTATACTATTCTTCACTTGTCCATACACATACTGATATAATACACAAGTAAATTGCTTGTTGCGTGTGTAAAACAAAAAAACCTTTCGGATTCTTTCACCTTAAAGCTATAGGTAAAAAGATATTTATAATTTCCCGTTTTACACCCAATCGATCGCACCGGGCATCTTAAACCTAATTAAAAAAATGGAGAAGAGTTTCTTACCAGTTCTCATCCGTTATACCTCCTTGATTTGAGAACTTCGTTATTGTATATTAGAGGCATTTGTTTCTTAATGACGTTCGTATCTGTATATTATATTAATATTTTTTATTGAACACTAGCTGACCCCGCAAACTTGGTTTCGTCTTAATATGTTTTACTTAGCCTACCTTTTTAGTAGGTACCATACCGACATATGGAACATTTTGCTCTGGTACCTATAGGTGATTGTTTGCTTATCCGGAACCAAAACTACTAAATATAACTAAATTTTTTTAATATATATTTTTCCAATTTTTCTCTCCATAAAAAACCTTAAAGTTCAAAGAATATATTTTTTTTTAAATATAGAGAATACAAAAACCGATACAAGTACAAAATTTACATAGCTATGGATATATCCAGAAGTAAGAGACACTTTCACAGGAAAAATTATATTCAAAATCTACACATCAAAATTAAGCAAAACCTTCTTTTTCGAACGAAGATAAATAATTTGCAAAAATGTCGGTAAAATAAAGAATTTGTAACCTCAAATCAAAAGTATATCATTTATAAAATAATATTTAAATAGTCAAAATTCATAGTACCAGCTCCTCGGGCGAATTTATAAGGTCTATTTTACCATCTGTGCATACTAATCGTCCATAAAAGATGGTACACAGAAATAATCCCTCCAACGACAGTCTTTTATTTTCCCGTTCCTAGAAACATGTTTCAATGAGTTCCAACAAGAAAGCGCAAAACGAAATTAGAGCTCAATACGAGTCAGTAAATTCATTTCTCGAGCAATATTCAAGCTAGAATCTGAGTTTCAGGACAGTCGTTTGCGTCCTGAAATCGAATGTATGCAAACTTGTTACTATGAAACTGACGCTACATCTACTCCGATTATGTGAGGAATGGCTTACTGAGCTGTCCCGACTGCTCCCACCGTATGAACAATAAACGACTCTAATCCCAAGTGATTAGGACGGATTTCGATTGAACAACACAAAGCCAAGTTTCAGTGTTTCAAAGCCTGAAACATTTCCTTTGTAATGAAATCGTTGAAACTCCACGTTACTTTCAAAGTAATTTTACGTACGAATTGAGCTAATTGTAAAGTTTATTAATGCACTTTTTGAGTACTTATTCCTTATTTATAAGTTAATAATCTTAATCTTTGTTTCCTGGTAATTAAGTTTTGTGTCTGCTTAAACTTTGCTTTGCAATAGAACTTATAGAATCTACCTCTTTGCTTTCTTTGTCTTTGAAAGTATTATCTTACATCCTATTATTATTTGCGTACGTACTTGAAGATGACAATAACAACGTCGTTAGTCTGTTAATGCGGCTTTCGACTGAAAACGCGATACGATAGTTATGTACTATGTACTCGCCAGTGAAGTACATAAGCCTAGGTACAAAGCCGTCAGCTCGTTTTCCGTACATAAGCCTGCGTATTGATTTTTACAATTTACGCAGATACCTATTGCCTTACAAACGAATGTACAAAACAATGAACTATGTATATATCATAGTTAGGTTTTATTTTGCGCTAATCAGCACCGCCCTGACTTAATCCGGGCATGCGTGTTTAGCCTGCAGCCTAGGTAGAGCGATGTTTTGTTTACATAGTATCTAACAGGTAGCTCGTATCTAATTACTCAATGTCGGCACCTTGAGACGGGAGGAATTCACCTGAGCGCGGCGGCGGCAGATGCGTCGCAGCTGCCGGCCGGGCCACTCATCCCCGCCCCGCTGCGGTCCGCGCAATCGCGACTAACAGTTTTATTTCCCCGAATAAACTTTATCAAACAAAGCGTGCATTCCCCGCACCCTGCATCTGCTCACCCAGCTGTTTCGCTTGCAGCTGCCCTCGGCGTCTCGCTCGCTCTACCGCGCACCCCGCTCCGCGCAAGGGAGATAACTGATATCCGCTGTAATCGCATCGAGACCCTTCAACTCCCTGCACGGCCCATTCGCAGTTCGCATCCCGACGCCGGCGGGCTTACTGCAAGTGATTATGACGAGTAAACGAAAGCGTGATTGCGAAAATGATTCCGAAAGGCTAGCGAAAAGGCAGCGGCGCCGCAAGCGATCCCGCAGTGAACCACTAATTAGCGACCCGCAAACAGCTGAAAAGCGGCAGGCTTTGAAGCGCCTTTTTGGTCGGATATGTTCAGTGGAGATGGAAAACGATCATGTTTCGGACGAGTCGGGTGATGAGTACAACTTCGATGACCGCGAAGTCTTCGGTGACGAGAACGAGGATCCACTGCTTGATTCCGTGCCCGTGAACATGGACCCGGAGCAGCTTGGGTTCCTAGTGTGCGCTCAGGAGACGCTGCGGTTCCTCCACGGGCGAGGGATCCCAACTGAACATCCAGTGTTCGCCCGGCTGCGCTCGCGTCTTCTTCGTGGAATCGGTGAAATGGCTGTTGCCTGAGTCCTACTCGGCCCAGAGCCCTCCCAAACCTAAACTTCCGAACACTTATAATTTCTGTGCTTCAAGTGTCGATGGTGTATTCTTCCTACAAAGTACTGTTTCCTCTTCCGGGCTCTGGAAAGTGTTGTGTCTTGATGTAAGGTTTATAATTGTGTAACGAAGCAACAGGTGGCCCAACAGGGCGTCTAGTCACTATCTAGTCAATGTTTACGAATTATATTTGTTAAAAAAGCTTTATTATCATTCGAATAAATTCGTCCACTGTAAGCGTTTTATTATTTTCCCCTTTCATTTAAACTTCGATATATCGATAGCTTAAAAGAAAACAAATGAAATACACTTAATTAATAATTTTAATTAAGGCTTTTGCGATATAATCTAGCAGGTCCTATTTTTTATTTTTAAAATGATGAGGTCCGCTCTTTGTTTCAACAATTTTATATATCAAACATTTCAATCCCATTATTAATCTATATATAATAAATAATAATCTAAGTAACAATGGTAAAAATTCTTACACAAAAAATATTTCCCATAGTAGTATTATAATAGCATAATGTTTTGGATTTAGATCATATAAATCGAATTTATTTTTCTTATTTATCTGTTCATACTTTGTCCCCTAATTATTTTATCTTTCCCACGCACTCTATGTTATGGGGTCGATTTCTTTGTTCAAAGGGAGTTTTTCGCTAGGAATGGGGGACAGTTGCTTAATACCAACTTTATTCGCTTTGGCAAAGTTATATGATATGGCGAAAATGTATTTATACAATTTATCTGATTAGGTAAGAGTTAAAAAAATACTGTTTAATGCTTTACAATGAATGAACAATTAATACAATTATATTTTTTTTAAGAATTCTGATAGTATACATTTAATTAAAGCATTTTCGTTCAGTAGTGTGATTCTCAAGTATATAATTGTTAATTGTTTCAAGTGTATATAATAGAAAAGTAATCTAAGTTGACCTATATACATACATATGATACAACCATTAGGACATATCAATAATTAACTAATAATAAATGATACACAGTTCAATTTGATTTTAGCATAATCCCTAAAGTGAGAACTTTATTGAACCTTCCAAAAATACATGGTAACTTAGGTTGAGTCTATTAAATCACAGACTAGCAGTGAAATGTGAAATCTCAGTTAGAATTCCCAATTTACACGTAATAGACATTCGGAGTGAGAACTTAAATGATACCTTTTTAGAATTCGAATTTAAATTCTTTGACGTCTATTTTTCGTATGAACAATAGTCTGTTTTTAAAATACTGGTTAGAATTCTAAATTTAAAATATTTGATTTTTATTTTACGTATAATAGGTCTGATTTCAAATTACTGGTGAGAATTCGAAATTTAAATTAATTGTCTTTAATTTCCGTATCCACAGTAGAGTATTATTACTATTATTTACATACTGGTTAGAATTCGAAATTTAAATTTTTGACATTTATTCTTCGTATGCAATATACTGGTAAGAATGCGTCTGTTTGCAAAATACTGGTTAGAATTCGAAATTTAAATTTTCTATCTTTATTTTTAAATGCACATGAAAGTTTTTTATCAAGTAATTATATCTAATAAAACATCTTACTTTATCTAAACCCATAAAAGAGTATTACCTATTAAAAGTCGATTACTTAAGTGTTATATGAAAAAGATTTGCATAAAGCTTGTTATATATAAATTAAGTGATTTAAACTATGTATTTAAACGTGAAGAGATAAAAAAACGTTACACATAGTAAATTTATTGATATTAAAACTAATACATTGTGCTAATATCTTTGGTAAAAACATTGCTCTAATGAACATAAAGTACCCAATTTTAGACTAAAAAATACACTGTAAGTCTTACCTTTCAGATTTCAAAAACAGTTCGTGCTAAGTCCCATTTCCGAACCACGCCCTTAATCATTAAATTCGAATTTTAAAATTTCAGGTTTCGAATAATGGTAACCATGGTAACAGACATGGCTTTCTTTGGTGTATTTGGATAATATACAATATGTTGGCTAGCCCATAACAATAAGACTGGCCTATTACCTTAACTAATATGAATGATAAAAAACAATAATAATTATGAGTGAGTATTTATTACAAGTTTGTGCATTATTAAATATTACGACAAATTTTCGGCTACAATATTCTAACACCGTGACCGGTACAGTCGGTCTTTAAACACACAGGTTTTTTCACTGCTCTTGTTTCCCTTTAATCAGTTGTTTATTAATATTTTCGGCTCTTTGACATTAATCTGCTATGGGAGATAATTTAATAAACCACTCTGCGTATGACATTAAACAGAGTAATTATTAACTTAGATCTTTAAACATTCAATATGACTCGACGAATCACATGTTACATAATATAATTGCAAGTACAAATAATCCCTAATCTAACTATATTAATTTTATTAATCATTATTCTTTGGTATAATAAATAATATTGGTACAATACATGAAAAATTATCTAAATCACAAATTTAATTAACTAGTATCAGGCGATATTTTTTCCTATAATATTTCATATATATTCTTATATAATTCTTCGATGACATTGATTAATATTATAAATACAGTCTATGGAATAAGTCTCTCAAAAAAACGTATTCGAAAATACTACAACCAAATTTAGATATATTCAAGTTTACCCTTTTAAAAACAGTTAGTTTATAAAACAGTATGTATTATTTCTAGTACGCCATAATGATCAAGAAAGTTCTTGATTTCTTCTAGTTTCATTATAAGTAATATTACTTCCCCTGTAAACGTATTCAATAAGCAATTTATTTAGTTCCTCGAGAGACTGTCCGTCCTGCACTTTGCTAAGAAGCATCGCAGACAATGCTTTGTGAAGACTGTGTGCCGTCATCTTTGTCTTCAAAACTTCCCCTTTAGATGCTTCCGATGGCTCCGGAATCATACTGAAAGATAAACTTAGTTTACTGCAAAGTTTCGTAATTAACTGGTTCGTTCATAGTAATTTGAACTAGCGAAAGCTATCATTCTAACTTATAAGTAGAACTGAGGTACTAATTGCAGAACTGCAACTGCTCCGACATCAATAATTTAATTTATGAAAGCAAAATTGTTGGATTTTGTTTCTTTTTTAAAAAAAAAAAAAACCCCCCCCCCCCCCCCCGGGGGGTCCCTACCAAACCACCCCCGGGGGTTATTTTGGGGGGGGGGGTTTGGTTTTTTCGGGGGGGGGGGAAAAAAAAAAAAAAAAAAAATAAAAAAAACGCCCGGGGGGGGGGGGTTTTTTTTTTTTAATTTAAAAAAAAAAAAAATTTTTTTTTTAAAAAACAAAAAAAATTTTAAAAACCTAAAAAAAAAAAAAAAAAACAAAAAAAAAATCCACCCCAAAAAAAAATTTTTCCCCCACAAAAAAAAAAAAATTTTGGGGAAGTCCCCATTTACTATTCAACTAACTAAATCTATAGTCTATATAACTATAGTCTAACCAATTGCGACAATTTTTAGATTCTACCCTTTAGTTTTAAAATCAATAAAATATAATTCGTATTAAAAATATCTAATGACAAACAACTACAATTTGTAAAGACCTGCAGGAATTAGTGCTTGCATATAATAAAAAAAAGGGGGTTTTGTCAGGTTCACCAAAAATATTAGTGAAAACACAACGATTCGTTGCATATTGTATGTTTATAACCTTTAGAATGTAAGTACCAAATGTTTTTCGTCAAATAAAGTTATTTTTATTTATTTATTTTATTATAGGCTTATAAATGTAAACTGTGAAACAGACTTCACGTAGATTAACAAATTTTAAATCAAACATAACATTATTTGGATAATTCGACGTTTCGAATACAGTTTGAGCAATCGGGAATAGCTGGGCTCTGTAAATTCAAGTAATCTGTCAAATATTTCCGTTTAAGTATTTTCAATATTCATAGTAATTTAGATTTAAAGTTCAATAGTGTATAAGAGATTAAAAATCATTCAACCAAATATATCATTTCCAATATTTCGTATGAAATGAGGTCGACAATCCAAGTCTATACAATGCACCATTTTATTTCGACCCTTTTGCAAAATGTTTATATTTCAATAATTCCAGGAATTGGCGAAACGGATATTTAATACCTAGTTTTATACAGCTACATGTACCAAAGCTAAAAAATAAAAACTCGCCATGTATTGACGAAGGAATCGAGATTGGTGCTTTTATAGTTAAATAATATGGATTCTAAAAATATTATGCAATAAAATATATTGAACAATTATTGGGTTCAAAATTAGTGTCCTAAAGATCCACTATTCAATTTATATTAAGAAATAATTAATTGAACTTTAAAGTTGGACCTGACTCATAGCCCCAAATATTTAATTAGCATATTTTGTTTATGTGTTACAAATTGTAAGAACAACGTTTTTTAACGATAAGTATTCTAAAAAAATATATACATATATAAAGTAAAACTTAGAATCTTCGTTTCATAACGTTCACAATCGTCAGAAGGCTTTGTGCTTAAACTCCCCTTACTTCCAACTCCAACTGCCGTCCAACTTCCTTAACGAAATAGGGGGGGGGATAGGGGTGGAGGCGGGCCGGACAAGGAGGGTTGGGGGAAATATTGAAGTTATACTTTTTTAGGCGCGTTTTGAAAAATTTATGAGAGTGAAATTTTACGATGCGCGCGCACCGTGACACAAAATTAACAGAATGAAGTTGCCCACGGAAGATGCTACGGCATTGGACATAATTTAAAAACAACATTCGAATAATAATAGAGTTTATGTTACACTTAATGTAAGAGAATAATAATAAATATTTATTTATTTAATTTTTCAAATGTAAACTGAAGTTTATTGACTTTAATGACTCCTTTTCCAGTCTTTGATTATTTAATTGTAATTAATTATTTGCATGCAATCAAAAACTATTTCTAATAATGCCAAAGAAGTATAACTTCTTACGCGGGTACATAAGTACACCCACCCTTTTTTTTAGTTATATTAATAATAATAATAATAATCTTTTTAATTTCCAATAATCGCAAAAAAAAATAATATACAGCTTAGATTTTTTTACATTTTAATTTTTTTCTTATTAACCTATATATACGTATACTGTATCCTAGCTAACTTCAGTACCGTCAATCGTAACCCCTTCACGGGTAACGACATCACCCAGCTTTTGCCAGCTAACTATGTCCATGGCTTTTCCTTTCTCCATTCGCTTCCTGCTACCGCTTCTATTTCTTCTATCCACCTTTTTGGGGTGCAGTCTTATCAGTTATATGACGTATACAAAATCTGCTAATAACTCAGCGGATAATAACTCGGAAGTCATCACATGGCCCTATGGCCACCTATTTTAGTGGGATCGGTCCGGCCTTTGAGAGAGGAGTATTCTCTTTTTTAAACATTGTCGTATTAACGTACCTCCCAGGGAAGTACGTAACCCCACAAGGAGTCCGCTAGTTCGCAAAAGAAAATTTCTTGTCTCTTATCATAATTGAGCCTATTAACCTAAAACATAGTATAGCCCTTGATTTGTATAAAAACGTTAATTTGTATACAAATCAAGTGTGAAAGCTATTATGCAAATACACATTAAATTTATTTACGTAATCCTAAGTACAATCTGTCTGTGCACCATAAAGGAACTAATAGAGCTTCAGACTTTTCCTTTGATGCAAAGTTACTCTAAACTCTATCTCATTAATGTAATTTATGAAACGTTTCAGTGAAGTTTGAATAAAACATTATATCTTATATATCCCTACACACAAATATGTCAACATTTATTTATCATCTTTGAGCAAATATCCACCTTTTAGGTTTCCTCTATTGCTTATGGTTTGATAAGAATCAGGAGCAAACAGCTGTCTCATTAATATATATATATATATATATTATACATAACTGGACAGACGTATGGCCACAATCCCACTGATGTTAAGTCAGATGTGGCCTAATGGAGGGCACGTCTGTCCAGGAGATGCCTATTCAACCGCCGCTTGAATGAACCCATATCATGCTGCGTAGGGAAAATAGAAGGGGGCTGCTATTTTTATAAGGAATGAAGAACGAAATCGTGTAGTCCGGGGGTTGTCGACAACGAAGGGGTGAAAGAAAAAGATTGTGTATTTCCACGGAGCATTCTCCGGAGTGCAATCTATAGAAGACTGAAAGGTAGGCAACTGAACGGCGATGGTCAAGACTCAAGAGTTGAGATTCCTTATTCTCGCTTAGACTCTGACGACATTTGGCAGCACATGTCCAGGGATGACTGTGGTACACATGACCGAACTTGAGCTTGATAAAGATTAAGAAGCTGTTCCGGTGTGAAGAACTGTCGGACTTTAAAATACCAGTTTTTTGCCACCTGGGCCTTAGAGGGAATAAAACGCCCAAAGATATGAGTTCAAGGTAACCCCAAGCAACTCAAGACGGTCAGCTATTTACAAAGAAAGACCCCGGAAGGTTGGGCTTAATTCAAAATCACTCTCTTTGCAACTCGTAAGACAAGGCTGCGTTATATTTCTGTTAAATTGGTTTAGGTATGTTGGTAAAGTTGTGCATGTCGTCTTTGTATAACTTCTTCCTCATTAACCCAGTCTTTAAGTACTTTCTCTTGTTTTTGCCTCACGAATACGCGCCATCCTTGACCACCATTCTACGGCACCACTTCTTCCATTTCCCTAGGCTAGTTTGTAGTGTCTACTCAGCCATTTTTTCCTCTTAGCACTGGTGAACGTTTTGCGATGCCTTTGTTCTTGACTTGCAGAAGCAGGAACATGTGTAATTGACCTTTTTATTGACAAAAACTAAATCAGTTCAATTGTACTCTTACAGCTAAAATAGACTCTCTTACGTAATAAGTAATTATTATGCTCTTTAATACTAAATCTATGTGCTTTGCTATTAATAGATAAAGTACAAAGCATAAAACTTTTTGTAATCCACATCCACATCCAACAATTAAGAATTCCATTAAAAATCGCGTATCTCCGAAAAATAAAGGGAAACATTTCGTCCAAAAAGCGGATCTTTTTTGAGAGCTATTTACGTCAATAATCAATAAGTGTATTCCTGGAAAACTTCCCGATCGGATGTACTGTTATTGGACAGGGTTTTTCATTCTATGTTTCACGTAGAACGGCTTTATGAAAACTTTGAGCCGCTGTCCCTTGTAACTATGTAATTCAAGTTTATTCTGTCTCAAAAGCTTTCAAATGATAAAGGAATGAAGAGCATGCGACCCAAGGTTGCTTCTGATTATATATGTATTTGGCAATCATTCTTAAAACATACACTATAATAGTCTAATTTAAGCGCTAAGCATTGCCGATATCTGTCTGGAAATGATCTGATTTAATTATAAACAGTAAAGTAATAAAGCGATACACAGTAATGTAAAACACGATACTAGATAAACAATTACAACGGACAGAAAAAATGGAGTGTGCATTATTAAATGGGCCTCAGGGCACTCACAGTGGACAGCCGCGCGGACTGACAGTGTGACCACAGCAATGATTTTTACCGAGCCCAGACTACACGAAAAGGAAATTTAATAGGCCATACGAACTCAGTCGATTTTATAATAGGAACTGAACACGTAATGTAAATGTAAAGTTGGTATAAAAAGTGTTGGCCTAGTGGCTTCAGCGTGCGACTCTCATACCTGAGGTCGTAGGTTCGATCCCCGGCTGTGCACCAATGGACTTTCTTTCTATGTGCGCATTTAACATTTGCTCGAACGGTGAAGGAAAATCATCGTGAGGAAACCGACATGTCTTAGACCCAAAAAGTCGACGGCGTGTGTCAGGCACTGGAGGCTGATCATTGCCTATTAGATTTAAAAATGACCATGAAACAGATTCAGAAATCTGAGGCCAAGACCTAAAGAGGTTGTAGCGCCACTGATTTTTTTTTATTTAACACGTA